GATATGAGGACCATTGCTTAAACTAGGGCTGGGGTGAGCGAAGTTGGGGGTAGGAGAGAGGCAGAGGGGCTAGGACTGGGGTGAAAGAGAGAGAGAGGGTGGGAGAGAGGGACTGTATGGGTCTGGGCCAGGGAGAGAGGGGCTAAGGCTGGGAGAGATTGGCTAGCGCTGGGAGAGAGGGTGGGAGAGATTGGCTAGCGCTGGGAGAGGGTGGGAGAGATTGGCTAGCGTTGGGAGAGGGTGGGAGAGATTGGCTAGCGCTGGGAGAGAGGGACTGCATGGGTCTGGGAAGGGCTGATGCCGAGTTAAGTTTAGGTTCCTAACTCCATAGAATCACCAGTGTAATACATTACGCATAGTGCCTTACATTTATGAGAGACAAAGAGCCTGAGAGATGCTTACATATGACTTGCTGTAGGGCTGGAGTGTCTGGCTGGTGACAAAAGTTCAATGGCAGTATGGTCAGATAAGCTTCTGTTATATACATGTAGTTGATGCATAATGAGCTGTTATACGCGTGTAGCTAGCATGTATTAAACATGTAATAAGGTGCATCCATAATGCCTTCAGATCATTATACAAATTTACACTTTACACAGTCTCCCTGTGTCTCTGGATCGTGTAATGTCATTAATGGAAGTAGTTACGGGAAGTAGTTTAGTTATCAACTGATAAATGTGAAGGGGCAAATCCTAACTTCCACTTAAGTCAAATTTTCACTTATGCCGGGATTCATTCAAAGGCGCATTGTGCACTGCACAGCGCTCCATCTCGCCTTTATATGAATCCCAGCTCTAGTCGTGCATTAATATCAATGGCTGAGAGTGAAAATGTGTTAGGATTCGCCCGAAAATCACTTCAGACATTTTTTTTTTTAATGTACAAATGCACCACATAGTAAATTCCAACAACCGTTACTTAATGGGGACATTTTGTATCTTTTAATAAAAACAGTCATTTTATAGATGAAATTTACAGCATGAAAATATACATGAATGACTACAAACACCACGGATTACTTAACAGAACACTATAAATACACAAATATATAATTGTATATTTATGCACACTAAGGAAGAAAACAAACAAGACTAATAGAAACAAACGCGTTGCTTTGGCTACATTTGAAATATATATTTTTGTCTGCGTAAAGGACTAGAATGTCGTTCACTGTTGGACATTTACACAGAAAATGGTTATTATGGGATTATGAAGAACAGTGAGATATGTGAAAAGGGGTTCCCTTTTGGTTCACTACACCTGTGCTACTTATTCCACTTGAATGCGTTAAAGATCATGCTATGGAGGTATCTATGTTTCTATGTGATGAACACGTATGAAATATTATTTGGATTAAATGCTTTGTGTTAATAAATGTAGTCTGAAGATGCCAAACACAACAAATGAGGAAGATGATATGGGGTGACATGAATGATGTTGATGGTGATAATGACAGCCAAATGAAAGAGAAATCGCATTGAACAATGATGACCATTAATGTTTACATCCCTGTTAGTGAGCATTTCTTCTTTGCTAACATAATCCAACCACTTTACAGGTGTGGCATAAAAATAAACTGATTAAACATTGTGATTATTACACAGGTGCACCTTGTTCTGGTGACAAAAAAAAAGGCCACTTTAAAATGTGCAGTTTTGTCACACAACACAATGCCACAGATGTCTAAAGTTTTGAGGGAGCGTGCAATTGGCATGCTGACTGCAGGAATGTCCACCAGAGCTGTTGCCAGATAATTAAATGTTCATTTGTCTACCATAAGCCCCCTCCAACGTCGTTTTAGAGAATTTGGCAGTAGGTCCAACCGGCCTCCCAACCGCAGACCACTTGTAACCACGCCAGCCCAGGACGTCCACATCTGGCTTCTTCACCTGCGGGATCGTCTGAGAACAGCCACCCGGACAGCTGATGAAACTGAGGAGTATTTCTGTCTGTAATAAAGTCATTTTGTGGGGAAAAACTCATTCTGATTGACTGGCTCTGGCTCCTAAGTGAGTGTGCCTATGCCCTCCCAGGCTCACCTGTGTGAAATCCATAGATTAAGGCCTAATTAATTTTTTTAATTTGACTGATTTCCTTATATGAACTGTAACTCAATAAAATCTTTGAAATTGTTGCATGTTGCGTTTATATCAAAATGCAGTTTGATCAACAAAAAAGAATGGAGTTTGTAAAATATGATGTAAAATAATATTTTTAATGCATGCAATAGATCACTCCACTCCACTCTTTCCAGACCTTTTCCAATTGTGATTGATCATCTCATTGGGATATGTGTGGTGCTGTAAAGATATATAGAAATCTTTATTATATTTTGTATATTAAACCCACAATGGTACCGGTGTTACCACAAAATATCTTCAGGCGCTATATAAAAAATATATACATCATCATCATAGATCATATTGATTTTTATTTATCTGTTAGATTATTTTCTTATATACTTTGTTTTACTCTGTAATATAAAAGACCACAACTCTAGTTGAATCCATTCTTATGAGGAAGCACAATTGAGGACTGCCATATTTATCTATGGTTCCCAGCATAGACATAGAATTACATTCAAGTAATTATATTTATATGGTTCCCATTGGCTGCCAAAATGTTGACCAGAGATTCAGTCCCATTCCCCTAGGAGCTCCCAAGGCCATAACATAACCACTGTAACAGTTCCATAATGACCTGTGTGTCATGCCTTAGCCTAATCTATCATGCAATGTCCACCACAAACCCCTACATTATCTGGACCGACTCTGACAGACAGGGAAAGACATGCAATCATGCCATCCACATTATCTACATGTCAGTGAGGGAGTCTCACAGTCAGGGACAGGAAGACTAGGAAGTGTAATTTGGCTTTTTTGAGGGAGGGAGGAAGAGGGGGGGGGTCTAGTAATACTCAAAGAGTATTCACAGTCCAGAGTGTGTGACAGTGAGAGAGGACAAGGGAGGAGTACATAACAGTTTGACATGGATGTTTTGTTGCTTTCACTGTGATACCATCAGGGAAAGTGCCACCAAATGCTCCCTGATCCATGACCCCTGACCTCACGGATCCAAGAAGGCTCCATAACAGTCCCAGCAGCTGATACAGCATCAATATCTTTGATGGGCAGCTTGAGTTTTAACCAATAAATGTTTGTTTCTTCCTTTGTTATGAAAGTCTGTGCTAGTTAACAGGAAAGAGAGAGAGAGATTTGTTTCTTCCTTTGATATGAGAGAGATCTCCCAAGCTGCCCTCCCTCTTATTGCTACATGCTTCTATCTCTTCTGTGTCCATACAAAGGGTCAACTACATGAGAAAGACAGAACAGTCACGTCCAGAACTGAAAAGAGCATTATGAGTTTTTGTGCAAAATGATCCCAGGTATTCTCTTGGTGTAGCCTAGTTTGTTTCTAAGTCGGTGTTGATAACTGAATGGTTGCATTTGCTATGTGCCAAGAGTCCTTATACATTCCATTAAAATACTCCAGTGTTTCCATAACTCAGAAAAGACAAGGCTGTAGCTTAAAATTGCTACTTCTAGATGAGTTGATGATCCATTGAACACCGTATATATAAAATGAGAACACACATTGTAAAAGTGGGACACTTGGTGTTGTATTATTACACCATTGCTTAGTGCAAAGGTGCTCGGAGTCCTGTGGACGAACGGAAACACAGTCAAGGTGTTGTTGGTCAGGTAGTCACCCCTGTGTGCTACATACAGATATGATTTCACTTGACTTGATCTGAGATCTGTGCCCTTTTTCCGGGGCTCCCATTGCTTTCAATACCCTGATTTGAGCAAGGTTTGAGTGATGCCTGCTTGTTTCTCAAGTCAAAAGTAAAATTATACGTCCCATAGAGTGCTGGTACTATAGCTGGGCAATCAAACCAATCTAAGAAGGCAAGGAGGACATGTTGATCTGAAGGTGAATCTCAATCTGGAGAGGAAGCCACTTTAAACTATTGAGATACAACCTAAACCTCTTTCAAGTCCGAATGGCGAAGTAATGGAGTCCTTTCGGACTGCAGGTAGTCAGCTGTTCCTGTGAGGGCCTAGAGGAGGGTGCATCCCAATGTCTAGTGGAGTGCATCAACCCTTAGTCAGAGATGCTCCCTTAATGTCCATGACAGCATAAACTCTTAGAAAAAAGGCTTTCAAAAGGGTACTTCGGCTCTCCCCATAGGAGAACCCTTTTTGGTTCCAGGTTCTGCCTGGAACCAAAAGGGTTCTACCTGGAACCAAAAAGGGTTCTTCAAAGTGTTATTCTATGGGGACAGATGAAGAACCCTTTTAGGTTCTAGATAGCGCCTTTTTTTTCTAAGTGTAGAGAAATAAAGAGTGCTGGTACTGTGGTTAGGGGAATAAGTCCAGGTACACCCTCTGTAGTCTAGATGCAAATTTAAAAACGGCACCCTGTTCTCTGGCCAAAATAAGTGAACTACATAGCGAATAGGGTTCCATTTTGATCGCAGACCTCTCAGTAGCAGTGATGGGGAAACCAGATCAAATCAGGGTGCTGGCACTAATAGTCATGGGGACGAGAGGACACTTGTCTCTAATTTTCACTGGGGTTAGACAACGCCCCTGTCTGGTCTCTAAATTTCACTGGGGTTAGACAACGCCCCTGTCTGGTCTCTAAATTTCACTGGGGTTAGACAACGCCCCTGTCTGGTCTCTAAATGTCACTGGGGTTAGACAACGCCCCTGTCTGGTCTCTAAATGTCACTGGGGTTAGACAACGCCCCTGTCTGGTCTCTAAATGTCACTGGGGTTAGACAACGCCCCTGTCTGGTCTCTAAATGTCACTGGGGTTAGACAACGCCCCTGTCTGGTCTCTAAATGTCACTGGGGTTAGACAACGCCCCTGTCTGGTCTCTAAATGTCACTGGGGTTAAACAACGCCCCTGTCTCTAAATTTCACTGGGGTTAGACAACGCCCCTGTCTGGTCTCTAAATCTCACTGGGGCGAGAGGACACCCTTGTGTGGTCCCTCTAGATCTCAGTAGCGGTGATTTCCTCGAAGTGTATGTCGTTGCTGCCGCTGTGGACGTCGTAGTCCTCCACGTCTCTGTTCTCCAGCTCTAGACTGAGCTCTCTCATCACCCTCTCCAGATCTCTGTTCCTCCTGTACATCTGGATGTAGCTCTGCTGCAGCTGCTTCTGGTAGCGGATCACCTTTTCCTTCTCCTCCTGCCAGACCCTCCTCTCCTCCTCGAATCCTCCCAGCTGCTCCTCACTGCTCCTCCTCTCGTACATCAGCTCTGCCCTCAGCCTCTCCACCTGACACACAACACATTGATTGATTGGTTGATTAACTGATTAGTGGAATGTATTTGATCATTTCAAAATCCATATAAAGTTGTTCTATCACAATGTTAAAACAACAATACACAACAGAGCAGTACAAAAAATACGTATTATTCAAGCACTATTCTGTAATGAAAATTTAAAAAAATGATGGAAACAAGGTCGGTCATTGTCTTTCTAAGTGTGTGGTTTTAACATGTATTTTGGACACAACAGTGCAAGTTTTACTGTCTGAACACCAGTAGAGAAACCACAGAAACTAGTGCAATGGTGTGAGGAATGGGGTGTGATATGAGACTTAAAGAAAGTATAAACATTGTTGTTGGAGCTCACCTGTTGCCTGAGTCCCAGCACAGCTTCAGCACTCTGCCTCTGAGCCTTGGCTTCATCACTCTCCCCTCCCCACCCCAGCCTCCCCTCCTCTGCCTCTCGGTACCCCATAGTGGGGCTGGGGCCCCCACTTCCACCCCCCACACCCCCACACCCCTGGGGGAGGGGCAGGCTCATACACTGGCTGTTATTGGCCGGTGCCTGGCCTCCAGGAAGATAACCTCCTCCCTGATTGGCCAGGGCATCTCGGAGGCGGGCCAACTCTTCCTCCAAGCGTCCAACTTTCTCGCGGAGCAGCTCGGCTTCACTCTTCCTGCGCTGGAGCTCATTCTCACAGACCTCCAGCTCCAGGGAGCGTGTTCGTAGGGCCGACCCAGCCTCCTGGCTCGTAGCCTGGCTGTTCTGGAGGTCGGACCTGACCTCTCTCAGCTGGGACTTCAGGACCACCAGCTCCCCACCTTTCTGGCTCAGCTCTGACTGGCTCTCCTTCAGTTGCTGTTTCAAAAGGGAGATCTCACCTGATTTCTGACACACCTGGAGGAGGGAGGGAGGGAGGGAGGGTAGGAAGGAGGAAATGAGAGAGGGAGGGAGAATTAATATTTTGTGAGATCACTTACTTTTAAATGGTGTACATGAATCAACCCTGACCCACCCACCTCCCACTTGGTCTCTTCTAGGCGTGGTCCCAGCTGTGTCTGCTCTCTCTGTATGGAGGCACACCTCCTCTCCAACACTTCCCTGTCCTGCAGCAGAGAGGAGAAGTCCTCCTGAAGCTTCTTCTTCTCCTGCTGCAGCTGGAACACCTGAAATAAAGACACAGACAGTTAGGGTGACATTTTGACAGTCCGTAAATGAAGAGACACTACCAAAACAGAAGCAACATATCATACCGTAATAAACAATAACAAGAATCGTTTTTTATGTAACATGCAACAATACCTGTCACACAAAGCAGGGCCCTGCTTCCCAAACTAAGTTGACTAAAGTATCTCTGTCTGTTACCTGTAGCTGTAAGGCCTGTTGTACTCTCTGGGCCTTCTGTGAAGCCTGTTTCATCTTAGAGGAACAGCTCTGTCTCAGCTCCTCCAGCTCTCTCTCACAGCGATGCTGCTTCTCCTCGTATACCTACAGCACAGGAGGTCAGGGGTTAGAGGTTACATATACAGAAGTATTTAGTCAGCCACCAATTGTGCAAGTTCTCCCACTTAAAAAGATGAGAGAGGCCTGTAATTTTCATCATAGCTACACGTCAACTATGACAGACAATTGGAGGAAAAAAAATCCAGAAAATCACATTGTAGGATTTTTAATGAATTTATTTGCAAATTATGGTGGAAAATAAGTATTTGGTCACCTACAAACAAGCAAGATTTCTGGCTCTCACAGACCTGTCACTTCTTCTTTAAGAGGCTCCTCTGTCCTCCACTCGTTACCTGTATTAATGGCACCTGTTTGAACTTGTTATCAGTATAAAAGACACCTGTCCACAACCTCAAACAGTCACACTCCAAACTCCACTATGGCCAAGACCAAAGAGCTGTCAAAGGACACCAGAAACAAAATTGTAGACCTGCACCAGGCTGGGAAGACTGAATCTGCAATAGGTAAGCAGCTTGGTTTGAAGAAATCAACTGTGGGAGCAATTATTAGGAAATGGAAGACATACAAGACCACTGATAATCTCCCTCGATCTGGGGCTCCACGCAAGATCTCACCCCGTGGGGTCAAAATGATCACAAGAACGGTGAGCAAAAATCCTGGGAGCTGGGACCAAAGTAACAAAGCCTACCATCAGTAACACACTACGCCGCCAGGGACTCAAATCCTGCAGTGCCAGACGTGTCCCCCTGCTTAAGCCAGTACATGTCCAGGCCCGTCTGAAGTTTGCTAGAGTGCATTTGGATGATCCAGAAGAGGATTGGGAGAATGTCATATGGTCAGATGAAACCAAAATATAACTTTTTGGTAAAAACTCAACTCGTCGTGTTTGGAGGACAAAGAATGCTGAGTTGCATCCAAAGAACACCATACCTACTGTGAAGCATGGGGGTGGAAACATCATGCTTTGGGGCTGTTTTTCTGCAAAGGGACCAGGACGACTGATCCGTGTAAAGGAAAGAATGAATGGGGCCATGTATCGTGAGATTTTGAGTGAAAACCTCCTTCCATCAGCAAGGGCATTGAAGATGAAACGTGGCTGGGTCTTTCAGCATGACAATGATCCCAAACACACCGCCCGGGCAACGAAGGAGTGGCTTCGTAAGAAGCATTTCAAGGTCCTGGAGTGGCCTAGCCAGTCTCCAGATCTCAACCCCATAGAAAATCTTTGGAGGGAGTTGAAAGTCCGTGTTGCCCAGCGACAGCCCCAAAACATCACTGCTCTAGAGGAGATCTGCATGGAGGAATGGGCCAAAATACCAGCAACAGTGTGTGAAAACCTTGTGAAGACTTACAGAAAACGTTTGACCTGTGTCATTGCCAACAAAGGGTATATAACAAAGTATTGAGAAACTTTTGTTATTGACCAAATACTTATTTTCCACCATAATTTGCAAATAAATTCATTAAAAATCCTACAATGTGATTTTTTTTCTCTCATTTTGTCTGTCATAGTTGACGTGTACCTATGACGAAAATTACAGGCCTCTCTCATCTTTTGAACTGGGAGAACTTGCACAATTGGTGGCTGACTAAATATTTTTCCCCCCACTGTAGATACCACATCCAGAGGTCAAACTGAGAGCCAGCACTATTACTCAAATATATACACTGAACAAAAATATAAACACAACATGTCAAGTGTTGGTCACATGTTTCATGAGCTGAAATAAAAGATCCCAGAAATGTTCTGTATGCACAAAAAGCTTATTTCTTGCACATTTTGGGCACAAATTTGTTTACATCTCTGTTAGTGAGCATTTCTCCTTTGCCCAAATAATCCATCCACCTGACAGGTGTGGCATATCAAGAAGCTGATTAAAAATCACGATTATTACACAGGTGCACCTTGTGCTGCTGACAATAAAAGGCCACTTTAAAATGTGCAGTTTTGTCACACAACACAAGGCCACAGATGTCTCAAGTTTTGAGGGAGAGTGCAATTGGCATGCTGACTGCAGGAACGTCCACCAGAGCTGTTGCCAGATAATTAAATGTTCAGCCACCTCCAACGTCGTTTTAGAGAATTTGGCAGTATGTCCAACCGGCCTCCCAACCGCAGACCACATGTAACCACGCCAGCCCAGGACCTCAACATCTGGCTTCTTCACTTGCGCGACTGTCTAAGACGCCACCCGGACAGCTGATGAAACTGAGGAGTATTTCTGTCTGTAATAAAGCCCTTTTGTGGGGAAAAACTAATTCTGATTGGCTGGGCCTGGCTCCCAAGTGGGTGGGCCTATGCCCTCCCAGGCTCACCCTTGGCTGCGCCCCTGCCCAGTCATGTGAACTCCATTGATTAGGGCCTAATTTATTTATTTCAATATGAACTGTAACTCAGTAAAATCGTCGAAATTGCTGCATGTTTCATTTTTATATTTGTTCAGTATATATGGAATAACAAACAGCTTGATCATATTGGTCCTCGAGGCAACACTTTAGGCCTGCTTAAATCACCTCTCACCTGACAGATGGCGGCCTCGTTCTCGTCCAGGTTCTCTCTGAGCTGCTGCAGCTCCAGGTCTCTCTCCCTCAGCTTCTCCTCCAGGTCCCTCACCACCCCCTCGTAACCCTCCAGGGTCGGGGGCGACCCGCTGTCCGACAGGGGCTGGCCTCGCCCGCTCAGCGACCCAGTGCTCTTACTGGACGACGACCGCCCGCTGTCCGAGTTTGAGTGACCGTGGGAGGTAGAGTGGGCGTGACCTCCATTTGTCCCTGACCCTCCGTTTGTGGTGGTGGTTCTCCCAGTTCCAGGCTCCAGGCCCACCCCGGACCCCCCAGATCCTGAACCCGACCCAGAGGCCTCGCTATGGGCCAGGCTGTAGCCGGTGCTGCTGTGGGTGGGCAGGCTGGACAGGGAGTTACGGCCAGAGTCTGACATAGAGCAGGAATGGCTGCTGCGAGCATTGCGTCCTCCGCTGTACGAGTTCCTCTTGCTATCTGAGGAAGAGGACGAGCCGACCAGAGGTACGACGTTCCCGTAGCTCCCCGTGCCATTGACCACGGTATTCCCGTTATTGAACACGGTATTCCCGTTATTGACCATGGTATTTCCATTATTCCCGTTGATAGGCAGGGGCAGGAGGAGGCTGAGGCTGCCCTGGCTCTCAGAGAGGTTGCCCCCTGGTCTCGGAGAGAGGTACTGCACTGAGTGGCGGTTCTTCGGGACCACCGGTTTGAACGCGGTGGGACGGATCAGAATCTTCTCCATGTTCTGCAATGGAAGACATTATTTGTTAATGGAAGACAGTATTTGTTAATGAGACATTATTTGTTAATGGAAGACAGTATTTGTTAATGAGACATTATTTGTTAATGAAGACATTATTTGTTAATTGTTCCTATCATTCATACAGTATCAAGAGCATTTACAGAAAACTAATTTTAATACATCTTAACATTGTTGTTGTTTTTAACCATAAATAATGAATTATTATCATGTTCATGATTTTCCTTATTGCCTGATAGCAAAGTCAAATGAATCTAGACAAGACCCTTTCAATCCTATAGTATCACAGCTCCGACCAACACTTTATTGGAATCCCCTGGTTAAATAAAGGGAAAGAAATATAAAAGAAACTGATGTTAGTGAATTATACCAGCAGTGTTAATTAGGAATGCCTGGTCTCCTCCCATTAAAGACAGGGACACTGATAGGATGGAAGGTCATTATGAAGGCTCTGATTGGCTTAATTAATATTTATAGGTTTCCAGTAAGCAGATTTTCTAATGATTTTGAGTCACGACATGAGAGATACAAAGAGAGAGGGAGAGAGAGAGAGAGAGAGAGAGAGAGAGAGATGAAGGGACGGAGAGAGAGAGAGAGAGAGAGAGAGAGGGAGATAGACAGAGAAAGACAGCTCTCCACACACAGGTTCGGTTTTCTTAATGATTTCCCTCAGCCCTCATTAAGTGTGTCAGAGAATGTAAGATAGCTCTAACATTGACTATAAGGCGCGAGGTGACTGACTGTTAAAAGATCTATCATCGGCATTGTCTAAGCTGTGATTAAGGTTCCCACTAGAAATGAATACCCAAATTAGACAGCAGAGGTAAACATGTCACCTAGTAGCACCTCACCACCGGTGCTGCTTAATAGCTAGTAATTGGGAGTACTGAAACGTTCACCATTAGATAGAAGTATTATTAGCTAGCTAGACTGTATGTTCTGTATATGAGCTTAGTGAGGATTTTACAAGTGAAACTTACAACTGAGAAAGAAAAAAAAAGTATACTAATGATAGGATTAATAAACACAATGACAATGTATGGGCATTACCAAAGGGAAGCTGGGATGGTCATTTCTTGACTAAATGGGTACTATAGGACTTATTAGGAATACACAGATACCACAAGCTCGGGAACCACTTGACATTTTGGGAATCCCCCTCCGACACTCACCTTCTCCAGTTTTCCCGACACAGGGATGAGTTTGGGCGGCGGACCGCCGATATTCCCGTTGAGACCTCGGGTATCCCTCTTCTCCTCCGAGTCGCTACACGGACTCCTGACCGTCACCACATGGTTATCATTCCAGTCTCCTACAGTCACTACCTCCTCACTCACAAACCCATAGTTCCCTCCACTACCACCACCACCTCCAGCCACACACCCAGCCCTGCCAGCAGAGTTACCCGCCCGGGGCTGCTTCTTGGTGGGCAGTAGCGGCGGCTGGAGCTGGGTGGGCTGCAGCTGGGTCTGGTTGTTGATAACCAGTAGTTGTTCCAGGGAGCTCCCGCTGCGCAGGGTGTTGCTATCACCCTGGAGCCTGAAACAGCTGGTGGTTGGGGTGTTACGGCGTTGCTTAGAGCTGAAATAAAAATAATAATAATTTATAATAATAATTGATAAGAATTACAGTACACAGCACTTTTCCAGTAGCTCTTTTCCATAGTAAGGGTGGAATCACTAGCCTGGTCCCAGATCTGTTTGTGCTACCATACCATCTCCTTGTCACTTATTCTCAAGCCATGTTTGTCTTGATCAGGACAGAAATAGAGTGAGCAAGGGCACAAACAGACTGGCACCCGGGCTATGACCAATGAGTAGCACCCTACCTGAACTCGCTGGCAGTCCGGCAGTGTCGCTGCTCCTGATGGGTCCGGCCAGAGATGAGGCTGCTGACGGAGCCCATGGTGGCTCCGGGGACACAGGGGCCACAGGGCCCTCCGACCACGGGGGAGAGGGTGACGGTGTGGAGGCTGGTGGGAGGCTTGGAGTGGTCAGTTACAGACACAGGCAGGGTCTGAACCAGAGCCATGTTACCTGGACAACACCAGACATACACCCAACACACTCTGCAAAGAGAGAGACAGAGAGAGAGTGAGAGACAGAGACAGAGTCAGAGACAGAGGCAGAGACAGAGAGACAGAGACAGAGAGAGACAGAGAGAGAGAGAGAGACAGAGAGAGACAGAGACAGAGACAGAGACAGAGTCAGAGACAGAGACAGAGACAGAGAGAGAGAGAGAGAGAGAGAGAGAAAGAAATGTCTTTATTCTTTTGAAACTTCTGAGTGTAATGTTTACTGTTAATATTTCTGTTTATTTCACTTTTGTTTACTATCTACTTCACTTGCTTTGGCAATGTTAACATACGTTTCCCATGCCAATAAAGCCCTTAAATTGAATTGAAATTGAATTGAGAGAGAGCGAGAAAGAGAGAGAGAGGTCATTATAAAGGCTCCCGTTGCCTTTCTCACTGATACAGTTAAAATCTCACATTCAAACCATCAGTATAGGAGACAGAGAGAGAGTGTGTGTGCACGCATGTGCATGTGCATGTGTAGAGGGGGTTCAGTATCTTTTGTGTGTGTGTGTATGTATGGTGTTTAAGTGTTTAATTTCCAGCCAGTATTATGATAGTGTGTGTTGCCTGGGGGACAGAGAGGGGACATATTATATCTAGCCTGTTGTGCATTGCTCAAAGCTGCCTGGCCAAGTGGAATAATACAACCCAACTATGACTGCACAATGCCTGCCAGAGCCATCAATCACGCACACACACACACACAGGTGTGTGTGTGCACGTATGAGGGCGACAGCAAAACTCTGTGCTGAGTGAGTGTGTGTGTGTGTGTGTGTGTGTGTGTGTGTGTGTGTGTGTGTGTGTATGTGTGTGTGTGTGTGGTATGCGAGAAGTTGACCACTTCCCAGGCCAGAATCATCATGGATCACATCCTCCTTTCACCTTCCACCTTCCACCCCCCACCCCACCCCTCTCCTCACCCCCAGCCCAGCCAAGGTCTACTCTGCCTGGAATAATGGCATTAGAGGACCCTCCAGGATGGTGGGTGGCCCCCCCTACCCTAACCCTGTGACCCCAGCAGGAGTGGGCTGTAGCTGGGCAGACTCCTTCCTCTCCCCCCCTGACCTCCAGGGGCCTGGTTTTGTTCGTGCTACTCTGGGATACAAATCCCCAGAGCTAATTTCTCTCTGATGTTGTTCACCGATTATTTCTAAAGTTATTGAAGTTCCACCCTCGCACGCAACTCCTCCTCCTCCTCCCACACACACATTCCCCGCTCCATTCTCCTTCACTAGTTAGACCGAGCAAAAATACACTCCTCCTGCCCTCCCCACCTTCTCCTCTCCAAAACATGCTGAGAAAGTGGGTTTGTTGTTTGAGCTCTACTTTGCCTCAGATGCAGTGAGGGTAATTAGCAGAGGATGATTTGGAAGCATGCCACAAAAACACTGCACAAGTGTCTTCTTCTTTGGAAGCTTATGTAAAGAAGTTTAGAAAAACTTTAAAGTATGACAATGCCTTTACAGAAAATGCTTTAAACAGTAACCTAATGAGCTTGTCTGGTCATGCAACTCCATTCCCCATCTTTGAATAGCATCTGACGGATGACTGAAGAGATGTAATATCTAGTTGATGAGACTGAGGGGTGGTGGTGTGACCGAGGATCTTTATCTCTACCTCTACCCAGATAGGATCCATGACTGGGATGGGATCCGTCACTGGGAAGTATAATCCTGTTATGATAAATATGTTAATAACTCCAGGGTTGCCACAGGGAGGAACGGATTATTCCAGATATCTGAGTCACCTCTGGAATTTCACAGAATCTCTACAGAGTTCCGGAATGTCTATGGTGCTCCAGAGAGAGAAAGAAAAGGTGGAAAAGCCAGGTATTCCAATCAAGAGGCACAGCAGAGATCCAAAATCTCTTGAGAATGAGGACACTTGAGACTTAATCCTGTTTGGTTAGTGTTTGGTGTGCACACAGATACTGAGCAGCATGGGTGAGTTTTTTTTTCAAGGAACAGTCATCTCCTGTCTTTGTACGCACATACACTGAGTGGACAAAACATTAGGAACACCTTCCTAATATTGAGTTACACCACCCCCCCCCCCCCCTTTTCCCTCAGAACAGTCTCAATTCGTCGGGGCATGTACTCTGCAAGGTGTCAAAAGCATTCTACAGGGACGCTGGCCCATATTGACTCCAATCCTTCCCACAGTTGTGTCAAGTTGGCTGGATGTCCTTTGGGTGGTGGACCATTCTTGATCCACACGGGAAACTGTTGAGCATGAAAAACCCAGCAGCGTTGCAGTTCTTGACACACTCAAACCAGTGCGCCTGGCACCTACTACCATAACCTGTTCAAAGGCACTTAAATATTTTGTCTTGCACATTCACCCTCTGAATGGCACACATACACAATCCATGTCTCAATTGTCTCAAGGCTGCTGTCCTTGTCTGTTCCTAAGGCTAGAACTGAGATGGGGAAACAATCTTCTTCCCATAATGCCCCTTCATCCTGGAACATGCTTCAAAATACACTGTTCAAAAAAATTAAGGGAACACTAAAAGAACACATCCTAGATCTGAATGAATGAAATTATCTTATTAAATACTTTTTTCTTTACATAGTTGAATGTGCTGACAACAAAATCACACAAAAATTATCAATGGAAATCAAATTTATCAACCCTGGTCTGGATCTGGAGTCACCCTCAAAATTAAAGTGGAAAACCACACTACTAACTTTGATGTAATGTCCTTAAAACAAGTCAAAATGAGGCTCAGTAGTGTGTGTGGCCTCCACGTGCCTGTATGACCTCCCTACAACGCCTGGGCATGCTCCTGATGAGGTGGCGGATGGTCTCCTGAGGGATCTCCTCCCAGACCTGGACTAAAGCATCCGCCAACTCCTGGACAGTCTGTGGTGCAACGTGGCGTTGGTGGATGGAGCGAGACATGATGTCCCAGATGTGCTCAATTGGATTCAGGTCTGGGGAACGGGCGGGCCAGTCCATAGCATCAATGCCTTCCTCTTGCAGGAACTGCTGACACACTCCAGCCACATGAGGTCTAGCATTGTCTTGCATTAGGAGGAACCCAGGGCCAACCGCACCAGCATATGGTCTTACAAGGGGTCTGAGGATCTCATCTCGGTACCTAATGGCAGTCAGGCTACCTCTGGCGAGCACATGGAGGGCTGTGCGGCCCCCCAAAGAAATGCCACCCCACACCATGACTGACCCACCGCCAAACCGGTCATGCTGGAGGATGTTGCAGGCAGCAGAACGTTCTCCACGGTGTCTCCAGACTCTGTCACGTCTGTCACGTGCTCAGTGTGAACCTGCTTTCATCTGTGAAGAGCACAGGGCGCCAGTGGCGAATTTGCCAATCTTGGTGTTCTCTGGCAAATGCCAAACGTCCTGCACGGTGTTGGGCTGTAAGCACAACCCCCACCTGTGGACGTCGGGCCCTCATACCACCCTCATGGAGTCTGTTTCTGACCGTTTGAGCAGACACATGCACATTTGTGGCCTGCTGGAGGTCATTTTGCAGGGCTCTGGCAGTGCTCCTCCTGCTCCTCCTTGCACAAAGGCGGAGGTAGCAGTGCTGCTGCTGGGTTGTTGCCCTCCTACGGCCTCCTCCACGTCTCCTGATGTACTGGCCTGTCTCCTGGTAGCGCCTCCATGCTCTGGACACTACGCTGACAGACACAGCAAATCTTCTTGCCACAGCTCGCATTGATGTGCCATCCTGGATGAGCTGCACTACCTGAGCCACTTGTGTGGGTTGTAGATTCTGTCTCATGCTACCACTAGAGTGAAAGCACCGCCAGCATTCAAAAGTGACCAAAACATCAGCCAGGAAGCATAGGAACTGAGAAGTGGTCTGTGGTCACCACATGCAAAACCAGTCCTTTATTGGTGGTGTCTTGCTAATTGCCTATAATTTCCACCTGTTGTCTACCCCATTTGCACAACAGCATGTGAAATTTATTGTCAATCAGTGTTGCTTCCTAAGTGGACAGTTTGATTTCACAGAAGTGTGATTGACTTGGAGTTACATTGTGTTGTTGTTTTTTGAGCGGTGTATATTAAAGTTAGGGGAGTTAGTGTCCTTGCCTGTTTTTAAGACTCTGATGGACGACACTGTTTGAGATAGCTGCAGTTGTTTCTAATCTTCAATATCTGTAATTTGTGACACTTTTGTGTGTATTTTGTATTTTTTTGTAATATTTTATGTACACGCTGCTATTTCCCTGTTTTGCCTTCTTGTCAGGTTGCCCTTCCAAAATAGGTTTTTAACCTCAATGGGTTAAATAAAGGTTAAATAAAAGCCATAAAAATCCTTCTTTAACCTGTCTCCTCCCCTTCATCTACACTGATTGAAGTGGACTTAACAAGTGACATCAATAAGGGATCATAGCTTTCACCTGGATTCACCTGGTCAGTCTATGTCATGGAAAGAGCAGGTGTTCCTAATGCTTTATACACTCAGTGTATATACAGGTAACTGCCAAAATAAAGGAAACACCAACATAAAGCGTTGGGCGCCAGAACAGCTTCAATACACCTTGGCATAGATTCTACAAGTGTCTGGAACTCTGTTGGAGGGATGCGACACCGTTCTTCCACAATAAATTCCATAAGTTGATGTTTTGTTGATGGTGGTGGAAAATGCTGTCTCAGGCGCCGCTCCAGAATCTACCATAAGTGTTTAATTGGTTACTGAGATGGCCATGGCATATGGTTTACATCGTTTTCATGCTCATTAAACCATTCAGTGACCACTCGTGCCCTGTGGATGGGGGCATTATCATCCTATGGGGGCATAGCCATGGTAGCCAAAATAATGGCCCGCCCAGAATTTTTATACATGACCCTAAGCATGATGGGATGTTAATTGCT